CATCGCATCAATCTGCCCACCTTTCTGGATAACTTCAGGGAAAAGTTTCTGTACAGAAATAGATGACTAACCAATTTTCCTGCAGCCTCTTCTTCTCTAATTAGAATGCTCTTGAAAAAGTTGAAATGACAACTTTGCTCTAATTGCTTCTGTGCTTCAATAAACTTACTTTTGCAAGTTAATTAAATCATTGCTGAATTTTTTTAAGAAATTTAGTACTTTACCTAGAAATGAAGCTGCCAGTTATGATCTAGCTGCAGTATTATGTTACTGATATTATTTTATTATTTTTTATATTATTTATTGATGTAAGAGAGAGAGGGAGAAGAAGATAGAAACATCAATGAGAGAGAATCATTGATAGGCTGCCTCCTACAAGCCCCCAACTGGGGACCGAGCCCACAACGCTGGCATGTGCCCTTGACCAGAATCGAACCTGGACTCTTTAGTCCGCAGGCTGATGCTCTATCCACTGAGTCAAACCAGTTCTGCTATCTGAACCAATAAATAACCCCTTTCCTTAAAATAACTGGATTGGGTAGTTGTCATTTGGAGCCTGAAGAACCCTAATATATTTCTGGTCAATGCCACCACCCCTTGACCGGAATTGAACCCAGACCCTTCAGTCCACAGGCTGATGCTCTATCCACTGAGCCAAACCAGCTAAGGCTTAATTCATTATTTACCAGCACTTTCTTCATAAAAATCAAGATTATAGCTATTTCCTATGTGGGCATTTTTAATACCATCACCTTAGAACTCAGTGAAAACTGAAATTAAACCTCAGTGTCCCTAAATCTATAGCCAATAGCTGAGCCCACAAAGAAGGATGCCATTACGAGCATTATCAATCTATAATTAGTTAATGCCTAGTTTCTTAAGGTCCATCACCGATAAAAAGAAATATGACCTCTACCTTCATCAAGAAGGCTACACTTCAGATGGAGAGGAAGCTAAAACACAAAGACGACAGCAGACACTAAAGGGTGTTCACAGTGAAGGGCTTCATGCCACAATATTCACCACAAGTGCCACGGGAATCTGACATTGTGTGGCTGCGGGACATTTAGGAGACTGGTCAAAACAGGAGTCTTGGGAAGTAAGGTGGGATATGTGCTGTGGTGCCAGATTTCTGAAAACCCTGAAAGCCCCAAAGAGAAGAGATGCTCAGATACTTGTTCCTGTGCCAAGTCTAGCCACACCTCTAGCCAAAAACTGTCTCTTGGCCAAGGTGGTGTCTCCTTTCCCCACTCTCCACTGCTGAGGTCTTTTACGCCATGGGTGGTCCACATGGCTCTCTTGTCTGCTTGGAATAACGAAGCGAGTTAAAGCAGGGTAGGAGGCAGTATAAGGTCAGTCCCAGGAAGAAACAGATATAAGACAAAGCCAGGCTGGGTAAGAACATACCCACTTGAGGAACTTAATATGAGCAGATCACAAGTTAGAAAATCAACCCCACAAACCAATCCCCTCAAGAAAAGAACATGGGATTGGGCAGGAAAAAAATCAAATTTAAAATTACAAAAAGATAAGCCTGAATAGAGTTCATGTAAATTGTACCTTCAAATATAAAACCAACAACTGTATGGAGTATCCAGCCTTAATAATCAAGACAACCTAAAAATGTAGTTTTTCATATTCTAGGCACATTGAATAAAATATCAAAATGAATCCACAGGCACAACAAGACTTCTACTTAAATAGCTAACCACAGGATAAGTAGCCAAGCATGAAACCACTACTCCGGGAAAAAGAGCAATGTTAAGTTGTCCTAAATCCAACGTTTCCCATCAAACCATTACAGTAAATTAAATCTTGCAGGTGAACACTTAAATTATCGGAGGGAACACGTTGTAAAGTATATGAATGTCTGTCTGCTGTGCTGTACACCTAAAACTAATACAAAATCGTGTGGAATGCAAACTGTAATCAAAAAATGAAATAATAATTTAAAAATTAAATCCTGGATTCTCCAGTAGGAAAAAATTAAGAAATATGAACCAGCTGATCCAGCCTGGATTAAGGGCAGAAGGACAGAAATGGAAACCAGTTGAGTGCAGCCTCCAGAGTCTTGGGCCATCACAGCCACATCAAAAAGCCCCTCTCGCCAAAACCGGTTTGGCTCAGTGGATAGAGCGTCGGCCTGCGGACTGAAAGGTCCCAGGTTCGATTCTGGTCAAGGGCATGTACCTGGGTTGCGGGCACATCCCCAGTGGGAGATGTGCAGGAGGCAGCTGATCGATGTTTCTCTCTCATCGATGTTTCTAACTCTCTATCTCTCTCCCTTCCTCTCTGTGAAAAATCAATAAAATATATTTTAAAAAGAAAAAGAAAAAAAAGAAGCCCCTCTCTGTGAATCTTCCCAGATCTAGTCTTCTGGTCCTGTACCACCCGGGACCTACGTTGATGGCCTGGCCAGTATTATCCTCATGTCAAGGCAACAATATGCAGCGACTCCGAAAACCATGTTGAGGTGAAAATCCCATGCGGTGTTTCCTTGGCATGAGTTAAGATGCTGTATTTGTACTAAATGACTGTTTCTAATTGTTTTAGAAAAGGCTAGAACATACTGAGATGCACTGTAATGTGTTAAAAGCATGTTCAATTTTTAAAATGGATACTATTGAACCACTTCGGATCATGAAATATATTTAGAGTGCTGAATAAAATATTAAGAACAGGATGTTCACACATTATTAACCTGCCCTAAAATTATTTTAAAGCCACACAACAGGCATATGTTCTATTTTGAAACTAAAGTTCAGCTCTCCAGACAACTTTTAAATGAGAGAAATGTGTTTCTTTCTTCTAAGAGTTAGACTTCTCCATAAGAAGAGCCAGTGCCTACTTGCATATGAATTTTAACTGTTGACTTTTGATCCAGATTCATATGGTTGTTCTTGTCTTTCTGACCTCAAGGGACAACAGACAAGAATGGTGAGAAGGCTGGAAGTGGCATCCATTCTCACAGAGATTAGACACATGAAACAAAGTTTATAGAAGGCAGAGAAGAGGAGACAGCCAAAGGATTTGAGACTCTATAGAAAGTAGCCCAAACTTGCTGAATGATGTCATGGAATTAGAGAGTGTTCAACAAGTGGAGACAAAGTGATGAATATAAATCACCCAGGATAAAGCTCAAGTCATGTTTTCTGAACAATCTCCTTAAATAATAAAATGCTGCGAGTAATAAATCACTTAAAAATTTATCAGCGGTTTAAATATGACACTTGACAAACAGGAAATATTGATCAAGTTCTGTTAAAAGAAACAATTTATTCATTTGTAATATATCAATGTCAATATGAAATGATAAGATGGAAAGAAGCAAACACTATTTTGTTACTATTTAAATAGCACCTACAGGACAAGCCCATATCACAGATCTATTGTATGTAAAATACATAAACTGCTAGAGAGAGAGATGCAGTGTTTATGTTGTTGATGAACCACAACAAATATGAGAGCATATGAGAGGTCATTACAAAACTGCAATAAGACGTGCATTGCTTGGCCCCAACTTGCTTCTTAAGGAACCATAGACTTGGGTAGTGTTCAAAAGATCTACGGAGTAGCAGGGCAAATTACAGGTGTGAAAGCTGCATTGCCATAGCTACGTTTTATTTTTTTTTAATATATTTTTACTGATTTCAGAGAAGGGAGGAGAGATAGAAACATCAATGATGAGAGAGAATCATTGATTGGCTGCCTCCTGCACACCCCCTACTGGAGATCCAGGCCACAACCAGGGCAGGTGCCCTTGACCAGAATCAGACCTGGGACCCTTCAGTCTGCAGGCCTATGCTCTATCCACTGAGCCAAACCAGCTAGGGTCATACTATGTTTTAAGAGGACAAAGAAAAGATCACCCAAAAAAGGAATTGTTGTAATGTTGTACAAATGTACATCTATAAATTACATTTTTTGCATAAACTTCCCAGGAAGTGATTTAAAATTTTGAGGACAATTTTATCGTCTTTCTCAGAATGGATTCAGGAGCTACCCAGAGGTGGGAGAGCAGGGAAGACCTCAATCAAGTTCAGTCTGGAAATCCTGGTTGGCTGTCAGCTGGGACGGACTACTGACTTTCCAGACAGGTACTATCTTTCAACCTACCCATCACAAGACTTGTTCTAAGCGCTTTGCAACAGCCAAAGATAATGTTATAATACGCTATGATATAGGGTTATAGTATGGAATATTCTAACAACTTAAGAGAACAAGGTCACTTTGGGAAGCTAATAAATATCGATCGCCATCCTGGGGAGAGGAATTATCTCAGTGACTGACTGGTTTGAAATGGCATTTCAGAGGGGAGTGCTACACCAGCAGACTGCCGCCGCTGCTGATGCATCCGACTCTGCTACAACTGAGATGAATGAACTGTAGTGGACTTTTCAGGTCCTAGAGAGAGAACTATGGTCTTCAGGAGCCCTGGAATGCAAAAAGCTTCAGGAGCCCTGGCATGCCATATTCAGAAAGGAACCAAGCGAAGTCTCTCTAATAGGTTTTCACTCAACTCAAAAAACAAAACAAAACAGTTATTGGTTGCTTATAATATGCAAGTACAGTGGTAAGGTAATAGAGCTAAACTATCAAAGGAGGATATAGAATCATACACTTGAAAAAAGATCAAAGTTAATCCTAAAAGATTAACACTTAAGATTTCTCAAAGAAAACTGAAAATGTTTCCCTAATTCTCAAACAATGCTGATCCACCAAAAACCAATTTGTACACAGAGATAATTTCATGATTTTACCTCAGCAATATGTTTCCAAAATATCATATTCCCTATTGAAGTTTATTTTTAAAACTCTTTAGGAAAAATAATCCAAGATCTTAAGCTACTTCAATTAATAACTCAGACAAGTAAGTTTCCATTTCATGTAATGAAAAACACCTGGAAGCAAAATTATTAATTGCAGTTATCAGCCCCTATTCTGCAAATACTATAGCCCCCGAATTAGCTAAGACACTGCAAATGTCAACATAGTACAAAATGCCCAGCGTGGCCCATAAGGTGAGGGGTGAGGTACCCTCCTTCCATGGAATCTCAAAACCTTACCCCCTTTTAAAAGTGGAACAGATTATCTGTTTTACTTGAAAGAGAAGTTAGAAGAGAGAAAATGCTTATAAGTAGATATTCTTTCTTGCAAAGTGAATAGGAACTATCTGATACTAACAACAGAGAAACGGGCATGCCATATTCAGAAAGGAACCAAGCGAAGTCTCTCTAATAGGTTTTAACTCAACTCAAAAAAAAAACACAGTTATTGGTTGCTTATAATATGCAAGTACAGTGGTAAGGTAATAGAGCTAAACTATCAAAGGAGGATATAGAATCATACACTTGAAAAAAGATCAAAGTTAATCCTAAAAGATTAACACTTAAGATTTCTCAAAGAAAACTGAAAATGTTTCCCTAATTCTCAAACAATGCTGATTTCAATGACCATTTCTTTCAAGGTATGAATCACTGTTTTATTAAACTTTAAAAAATGCTTACTGAATGGACCTGTGGTGTAAGAAGCCAAACAAAAGCAAAAGTCAAATTGAGGGTGCCAAAAAAATTAAAAGAAAATAAAAAATGTTCACAAATTTCAGAACACTTTGTACCACAGAATTAGCATAGCATTGCAGACTACAGTCTCCAAGAATCAGCAACTGGACAGCCATTGCAGTACATTGAGCTCCAAAGAGACAGCGCCAGGCAAGTGTGAGCCGGCCGGGCACTGGGTGACTGTGTGCTCGCTGAGGCAAAGGAGATCTTAAGAAGCCAAGAGGCAAAATGTCATCGTATGCCTTCTTTGTGCAAACTTGCCGGGAGAAACACAAGAAGAAGCACCCAGATGCTTCAGTCAACTCCTCAGTTTTCTAAGAAGTGCTCAGAGAGGTGGAAGACCCTGTCTGCTAAGGAGAAAGGAAAATCTGAAGACATGGCAAAGGCGGACAAGGCTCGTTATGAGAGAGAAATGAAAACTTATATTCCTCCTAAAGGGGAAACAAAAAAGAAATTCAAGGATCCAATGCGCCCAAGAGGCCTCCTTCGGCCTTTTTCTTGTTTTGTTCTGAGTTTCGCCAAAAATCCTGGCCTATCCATTGGTGACGTTGCAAAGCAGCTGGGGGAGATGTGGAGTAACACTGCTGCAGATGACAAGCAGCCTCGTGAAAAGAAGGCTGCTAAGCTAAAGGAGAAATATGAAAAGGACATTGCTGCAGACCGAGCTAAAGGAAAGCCCGATGCTGCCAAAAGCGTAGCTGTCAAGGCTGAAAAAATCAAGAAAAAGAAGGGAGAGGAAGAAGATGAGGAAGATGAGGAGGAGGAAGATGAAGAAGATGATGATGATGATGAATAAGTTGTTTCTAGCGCAGTTTTTTTTCTTGTCTATAAAGCATTTAACCCCCCTGTACACAACTCACTCCTTTTAAAGAAAAAAATTGAAATGTACGGCTGTGTAAGATTTGTTTTTAAACTGTACAGTGTCTTTTTTTGTATAGTTAACACACTACCGAATGTGTCTTTAGATAGCCCTGTCCTGGTGGTATTTTCAATAGCCACTAACCTTGCCTGGTACAGTATGGGGGTTGTAAATTGGCATGGAAATTTAAAGCAGGTTCTTGTTGGTGCACAGCACAAATTAGTTATATATGGGGATGGTAGTTTTTCATCTTCAGTTGTCTCTGATGCAGCTTATACGAAATAATTGTTGTTCTGTAAACTGAATACCACTCTGTAATTGCAAAAAAAAAAAGTTGCAGCTGTTTTGTTGACATTCTGAATGCTTCTAAGTAAATACAATTTTTTTATTAAAAAAAAATCAGCAACTGTGTTCAGCACTAAGTCAGAAAATGAATCGTTCATGCTTTTATCTTAATCCCAGATTATTTTTCATACATAGCTCAAAACATATTGACTGGACTCCAGCTTTCTCCAAATGCTCAAAACTAGTCACTTTAACGGAAGTATTATATTCATGTAAAAGGTTATGATCTACACCCATGATTTTTAACCTGTGTGTTGCAAGAATTTTTAAAGCATGCAATACCTGACCATTTAGTCAAGGAAACTGAGTTCTTTTCCTTAGAATGTCAAATAAAAAAATGACAACAGTCTTAACTGGTTTGGCTCAGTGGATGGAGCGTCGGCCTGTGGACTGAAAGGTCCCAGTTCCATTCCAGTCAAGGGCATGTACCTTGGTTTCGGGCACATCCCCAGTAGGAGGTGTGCAGGAGGCAGCTGATCGATGTTTCTCTCTCATCGATGTTTCTCTCTATCCCTCTCCCTTCCTCTCTGTAAAAAATCAATAAAATATATTTTTTAAAAATGACAACAGCCAACACAATAGCTGTCCAGTGTGAATGAATCAAAATTATACCTATTTTTCTGTCAAATCAGCAAAAAATATACTTTTTTGGTGTGCCACATAATTTTAGTAATTACTTTATGTGTGCCATGAGATGAAAAGGGTTGAAAATCGCTGAGCTATGTAATTACGTTGTATTACAACTGAATAATTGCCGGTATGCTGTATTAGTGCCTCTAATCTGAACACAGCTCCACGCCCGAGAGGACAGATTACCACCCTGACCTAATACACACCAGTAATCCCTAAGAGAGCAACTCCTCTCCTGGCTATACCATGAGAAAGTCAAAACAAACCCAACCTTGCAATGAACATTCCTGAACTCAAAACATATTTTTAAGAGAAGTTTAACAGTAATCATTCCATTTTCAAGACAAGATATAAAGTTAAGAAAAGATAAGCTACTCTGATATTCATTTATTTGTTCAAAGGCATTAAATCAGCGTGAAGTCTAAGGGATTAGTGGGAAAACCCAGTAAATTAGTGGGAGTTGGAGCAGGTTCCAAAGAAACATGAGACATGCACTCTTTGCCCTTGAGACGTTCACAGTCTAGTTAAGGAGAAAACAATTACCCGGCATTTTGAACCTCACTTAAAGGTTGTGGAGAAATCAAACTTTTGTTAATCTATGTATTTTAAATGCCACCCATTTAACTGCCAAAGTTGGGTTACCGCCTCTTCCAAGCCTAAGAGGAAATATAATTAAAAACAAAAAAATTGTACAGCTAAAAGTTCTTCTGTAAAATGTGTTTTTGTAAAAAGCCTAAATGTGCCACTTCTGGGACTCCAATGTTTATCCATCAGGCTTACTTAGAAAGGGATCCACGTGGATGTGCAAGTGCAAGAGTGCTATGAGCTACGCGCCTGTGTCCTCGAAGCTATACAGCAGTGCTGAGCAGCTGGAAGGTGCTCAGACACTTGGAGACTGACGGAGAAGTTGAAAGCAGGAAAGGGAGAGGAGGATGGGAGACAGACCCAGATGCGCCTGTAGCAGCTGCCAGGGAGCTGAGTCCAGCCCAAAGAAAGCCCGAGGGCTCCTCCCTAGCGGCAGAAACTAAGGAGGCAACCAGCATCGTGGAGACGTCAGAAGGCACAAGGGGGCATGGGATATGGAGAGTTCGCTTCTGGAAGAGGGTCGTTCATCTTGCAGTGTGGTCAATTGGATGGCTTTTTGTTGTTGTTGTTAATCCTCACCTGAGGATATCCATTGATTTTTAGAGAGAGTGCAAGGGAGGGGGAGAGAAACATCGATGTGAAAGAGACACATGAACTGGTTGTCTTTCTCACTCATCCTGATCAGGGCCAGGGATTGAGCCTGCAACCTAGGTAAATGCTCTTGACCAGAATCAAACCCAGGACCCTTCAGTCCGCAGGCCAATGCTCTATCCACTGAGCCAAACCTGAATAATATACAAGTCAATAACTCAAGCCATTATGTGAAGACCAAGAAGCAAAAATAATATCTGAAGCTTTATGAACACTTGTTACAGATGAGAACTATGTCCTATGTCAGCAGTTCTCAACCTGTGGGTCGCTACCCCTTTCGGGGTCAAACGACCCTTTCACAGGGGTCACCTAAGACCATAGGAAAACACATATATAATTACATATTGTTTTTGTGATTAATCACTATACTTTAATTATGTTCAATTTGTAACAATGAAATTGAGGGTCACCACAACATGAGGAACTGTATTAAAGGGTCGCGGCATTAGGAAGGTTGAGAACCACTGTCCTATGTGATCCACACAGGTCTCTTCACGCTTTCCACACAATCTGTCCCCAGGGAAGCTACTGGAGAGGACAACAGAGGAACACTAAGCTGGGTCCTGCACTCAAGGCATTCGAAACACAGAAGCGCTCAATTCCGAGGGCTGCCTTGGCTATCGCTGCCACAATAGTTGTGCAAGGCGTGCACCCATGACCAGGAAGGGACCAGCCCTATTGTCAGAGAAGGTCCATTCTGAGACACACGCGGGCTTGGGTAGGGGGGACGTTGAAAGCCACGCAGAGGAATTTCTGAACTTTGCTTCCTCCATCACCGGTCAGCCTCTGAGTTTTCCACTCACCGCCTCTTCCACTTTACTACTTCCCTTTAGCAAAAAAATGCTCGATGACCACACCATCTCTGATAAGGATTCAAAATCTAACATATAATGTCTTCCCACATGTGCTACGATGTTCCCTCAGATACACTCAGCAAAAGATAGTCGGGCCAATGTCATCAGGCAGAAAAAGGAGGTTTAGAAACAATCAGGATTTTAAAGATAGAGTAAGCTAAGGGAATACCTGTCAAACTGGTGGGGGTTGGTGAGGGAGATATACTTAGGACCCCACAAAGAACTCTCTTCCAGGGATCTGAATAGAAACGCCAAATATGTCACTCATGGGGGACCAGTGATGGATGCACAGTTTTAGGCTAAGAACTGTGACATGAAAGGTTGGCACTTCATTAAGTCACCTCGAGATGAAAAGAGGCCTGGAGAAAAGGGGGCTGAATTCCTGAATAGTTTTGTTTACTACTTACAGTCTGCAAAGCTAACAATGTAACCTGAACTGTATTTGTTGTTGTTTTTGAAACATTTTTATTGATTTTAGAGAAAGAAGAAGGGAGAGGAATAGAGAGATAGAAACATTAATGAGATAGAAACATCAATCAGCTGCATCCCACAACTGGGGCATGTGCCCTAACTGCAAATCGAACCAGAGACCTCTTAGTTCATGGGTCAATGCTTAACCACCGAGCAACACCGGCCAGGCTGTATTTGTTTTTCTGTTTGGTTGTTTGGTTGGTTGTTGTTAATCCTTACCCAAGCATATTTTTTCCATTGATTTTTAGAGAGAGTGGAAGGGAGTGGAGAGTGAGAGGATGAGAGAGAGAGAGAGAGAGAGAGAGAGAGAAACATCAATGTGAGAGAGATGCTGAAAATCAAACCCACAACTCTTGGGTACTCAGGCTGACGTTCTAACCACTTAGCAACACCAGCCGGGGCATAATCTGAATTATAATACACCGAAACTGTATACATTTGATCCTAAACTGGCCTCGCCCTCTAGTAACATTCATTTTTAAGCATGAAACAGTCTCTGTGTGTGTTGGGCTGCAGAGAACAAGGTAGGGAGGGGAAGCACTAGGGAAGATGCCAAAGAAAATAGAACCCAAAGCAAAGTCCTTGATCCAGGAAACAGTCATACTTTTTACTTGAGTTACAGCCACAAAGAATGAATTTGGTCTCTGTCAAGAACATGCCGACATATGTACTAAACTCTGCTTAGTCGCTCTGTGTGAAGCGTTATGTGTGGGCCATATGGAAATGCATGTAAGCCTTGCTCATGCACCTCGAACATGCTGAGAAATGCTGACAACATGTTCCAACACAAATCTCTGTGTCTAATTATATTCCTAACTGATACGTGAAACTATACCATGTAGAGGCGTGCTCCTGTGAGTAGAAAAATCAACAATATAACAAAAAGGGGACAAACCAATTAAGGCCTACCGCTTAAGACAATATTTTAAAGTGCAATTATGCAACTAGAAGCCTACTGAAATGCATGATTGACTTAAAAAGAAACTCACAGTATCTTAAGCTAATAAAAAAAATCACTTAATAAATAAAAGAATACCCAAGCTCTACGGGATGAATCCCCCAAATAAAAGATCAGCTGGACTGGTTGATATAACTATGCAAAGACAAAAGATTCAGAGTTGCATCTGCCTGGAAGAGAAATCCATTTCCTATAAACTTGTGTTGCCATCAGTTCTATCTGGTATGCTTTTTAGGATAAAAATTGATCACAACTGTAGATCTAGGACAGATAAGGCATTAGAGCTGCACTGTTCACACAGTAGCCACTAGCCAAGTGGCTATTGAACACTTTAAATGTGGCTTGTCCAAATTGAGATGGGCTATAAAAATGCACACTGGATTTCAATGACAGGATCGAAAGGGAAGAATATAAAATAGCTCATGAATGTTTTATATGGACTATATGTTGAATAATGATATCTTGGATATATCAGGTTAAGTGAAATCCATTAAAATTAACATCACTTATTTCTGTTTTTATCTCTTGATACAGCTACTAGAAAGTTTAAAGTCACATGTGGGATTGCCTTTGTGGCTTGCGTTATATTTCTATCGGAAAACACTGCTTTAGGGTGCATAAGAAATACTGGAACTGCCAGCCCTCTGTGGAGTCTAGTTCTACTCTGTATTTTAGGCAGAGATTAGCAGGAACTACATAAAGTAACCAGAGTATAATTCTTTACTTCCTTCCTTCTCCTCCCATTACCAAGTGCCTGATTCTCTATATGTCTCCTTTGCAATTACCAAGGAAGAGAATCAGTTTGGCCTAGATAATCATAAGTGACCCTCTCAAGTCAGCTTTTGTATCGGGTACATCACACGTCTCCGACCTATGGACTGGCTGTCCTTGAGTCAGGTGTTCATCCCTAGACCAATCCTTGTGATTGGTTGGGGGTTGAGGGGGTGAAGGAGGCATGGGTCAGGTTAAACAGAGTACAGGAATGATCTGGAACCTCCCCTGAGCAGGGGCTATAAATGACCAGCTTTGCTTGGAGGGGACTGTGGGAATGCCCGGCGGCACAGACTGGACTGGCCAGCAGGGAGTTAATTCAAAAATTGCCAGAGCATGATGCATGCACATTCAAAGGTCCTGTGAGTGCGAGAGCCAAGGACTACTTCCTGAACGATGCTCCGGATACAATTTCAGCCAAGCCATTCTACAAATAACAATAATAACAGATCTAGTCGCAAAAACATTTCAGTCACATCTAGCAACTAGCTGGCCAGCTTACACAAGAACTTTAGGCAGGGAGAGGGAGAATGCAGAGACAGAGGAAGCAATATATGGAACACAACCAACCAATCAAAGTCCCAGTCCCAACCATGCCATCACATCACCATGTGACTTTGGGCAAGACACTTTAACCCCTCCTGCCTCAGTCTTCACTGGTACAAAATGACAGGGAGATGAGGACTGGATGCGATGATAGATGGAAAGGTGCTTTTTAAAGTTCGAAGAGCTGCACAAATGTTATATTTCAAGCGTGAGCTGTCATTAACTCTATGTTGACTATTGAAGGAGCAACCGCACAATAAATCTGACCTCAGTGAATACGCCCTGTCCGGGAACCATCTGGTGGCACTTTTCTCAGCCTTGTTACAACGTGGCAAGTGTTGTTAGTTCTCGGCTCTCGTACTCTGTTAGCACTTACCTCTCGCTGTGGTTTCATCTGTAACGTGCCTTCGGGAATTCACGCCAGTACATCAAACCCGCTGTCAGGCCAGCAGCCCGACATGAGCCACACCACATGCACCTGAGGGAAATACAATCAATCAGACCTGTGGCGAATGGCAACTGTCAACTGCATCTGATGGTGGCTTTCTCCAATAGCTGTCAGAATATCCAAGACTTACATCCTATCCTAATGCCCTACCACAGCATTTGTTTAGAGAATTCAAATGGCGAGCAAAGCTGTAAAAGAAAATTCAGCTCTCATGTTTTGGGCCCAGATTTATTTCTATGCAATATCTTGGGAAAACAAAATATAATTGTCCTCATATGATGCCTGATTTCATTCCCATGAGATAAATTACCTTTTTTTTCTTTTCCCAAAAAAAGTACTCAGTTTTACAGAGAACCAATCCAGGAATACTGAGGATGTTTTCATTTTTGTTGTTGTTCCTTTATGGAGGGTCTGGCACTTCTATACCAACAACAGGAGGAAAGGGTTTACCACATATTTGCATAATTAAATAGAAACACAGGAATTTCCATGGCTTGCAGAAAAAGGAGCTCTGTGTCTTTAAGGCTCCACGGGGTTCTGGGCTGGGAGGCAGACAGACCAGCGCTGCTGCAGCAGCGACTCATCCTATCGATAAGGTTCAGTTAGCCAAGGTGGAGGATGGGAAAAGAATGGAGCTGTCCCAGCTACTCAATGAGATCAGGGCAAACTATGAAAAGCTCCTCACCAGAAATCAGATAGAGACCGTGCTCTCAACAAGGATCCAGGTAATGATTTCATACAGACAGACACCCTCCAGGATAAGGAGACAATCCATGTCTATCCAATTCCTGTCCCGGCCTCTCTGAGGTACAGTATTTCCTTTTCAATGCAGCGTATTCTGGGGAAGGAATTTAGGTTTTACTGCAATGTGACGGGGACTACAGGGGGAAATGCTGTGATTATACTGTTAAGCGACCATGAAATAAGTGTTGATTGATGCATTTAATTTTTATGTAAATTATGAGGTAACGGTCATTAATAAACCATGGGGTCAACATACAATAAAATGGTGCACTTGAACCTCTTTTGACATCCTCCAAGGAGGAAGCATTTCAAATACCCTTCAAAGATAATACAGAGTTACTTATAGAGATCATTTAAATGACATCTTAAAAATGGCAAGCTTCATAGTAAGATTTCTTAGCTTGCATACTTTGTAGAGGAAAACTAACTAAAATATTTTTAATGAGTTCAGTTGTATTCCAGATCGTTATAAATAGAAATCATCTGGGCATAAGAACAGGGCATTCAGAACAATTCTGATATAAATCAGGACAATCTACACCCCCCACCACCACCACCGATTGATAGACTCTCCTCTTACATTATAGAGTTTTGCTTTTGTGCTATAAGATGAGAATGTTTATTTCCAATATTTAGGCATGCTATATTTAAGTTTTAAAGACAAGAGAGAGCCAACTTAAATAAGGGTTAAATCCTAGTTTTATAGACTTACTTTGTTTTAAAGTGACAATCACCTTCAGCAATTAATTAGGATCTCAAATCTTTAAACAAAGGTACAAACAAATATTTTAGAAACAACGATATAGAAATTCAGGGATTTTTTTTGTTTTTTTTTTAGTTTACCTACCATATCTGAGTTCAAGTCCTATTATGAGCACCCAAATACTGCAAGGAGTTTACTTAAGAACATCATAAAAAGGGGGGAAAGTATTGCTGGGAAATCATGGGACTTTACTCCATTAGCAATTCATTTTTAGTAACATTATAAATTTTACCTCTGGCTAACATTGTCAGTCTTCATAGGGAATGATCAGTATCCTGGATTAAGCAGAGTCACTGGGATATTTAACTGCTGGAATAGTTCATTCACCTTTTACAAAGAAAGGAGGGGGGGATGGCCATTAACTTTTAATGACAATTTCTGAAAATTATAAACCTAATATACACCTTTTTTGCATTAGTAAAAATACAAGTTATTTAGTTTATAAGTCACAATGCTAAAATGCATCAGCTAAAGCCAGAAAGCAAGACTACATACAGTCCATTTTGTTTAGTCGTTTTAACATATCTACCTTAGAGGATTGTTTTCAAAGAATTCAGAGTCAGCTTAAATAAATTCAAGAAAGCCTGTTTAATTATTACACAATAGGGAGCTATTTCAGTTACTTATTACTATGTAATAACTACCCCAAAACTTAGAGTAAAGAAGTCATTGTATGCCCTCTCACGATTCGGTGGCTTGACTAGGTTCCCTGGGGGTGACTTCAGCTGGACGTGACATTGGCTGGGACTGCAATCATCTGGGGGCACAGCTGGGCTGGGTCATCCAAGGTGGCTCATTCATGGACCTGGCACCTTGGGATTTTGAAAGGCTGGCTCAGCAGAGACAAATGTTTCTCTCTCTCCATGTAGCCTGGGGATCTCCCTCCATCTGGCCTCTCTATATGATCCCTCCAACAGAGCATGCAGACTTCTTACATGCTGGTCCAAAAGCATAGAAGTACAAGTTGTCAGGATTTCTTAAAGGCTTAGGCCTAAAACTGACACTTCCGCCACATTCTACAGGCTAAAGCAAGACATGGATCAGCCCAGGTTCAATGTGGAAGGCCACCACACAAAGACATCCATTTTGTCACGGGTGGTTCATTGCAGGCCATCTTCAGAATCTAGCTACTATCCAAGCTTCGCTGCCCATTGCAAAATGCAAAAGACCAATGAATACCATTGTTTTCATGTACTCCTATCTCCTAAATTCTCAACACTTTCTTTTGTAATTACTCTGATAAGTGATGCTGCTTGCTTTTGCCAACAATGCTGAGAACAACAAATCAAAAGAAACATATAAATGTTATCTAATACTTTGCCCTAAACTTCATTATAGACTTTCATGTACCGCAGTGTTTCCTCCTTTAAAACATCTGTTGTACCATCATATTACATTTTTTAAAATTTTAAAATGCATTTTTATAAAAACATAAAAAGGTTGTAACTTTTGCTTCAAAATATTACAACCAACTTCATACACTGCTCCTACTGCTCGTGGGGCCAAATGTTCAGAGTTCTGTCAAAAGATACTTTCACTGAATTTCAACATCAGTATAAGAACATTTAAAGCTAACCATACAATAATCCATTTGTTATTTCATATGAGGACATTTAGAAAACAATTTTGAAGGAAGTCATTTTTTGCTTCTACCTCAGATAAAAATTAGCATGCCTTCTAAAAAGATCATATTGAAAAAGATAAATCAATAGTGGGTTAGCTTAATACCAAAATCTATTTTAGAGCTTCTAATGTCTATGATAACTTAATTCTCTAAATTATTCATAATACACTTTCCAGCAATATTTACTCCCTGTCTAAGTACCCAGTCCAATAATTGATTAATATAGGGTATATAACAGTTTATCTGCTTTTATAAAGCAACATCAAGAAATACAGGCCAAAACCGGTTTGGCTCAGTGGATAGAGCGTCGGCTTGTGGACTGAAGGGTCCCAAGTTCGATTCCGATCAAGGGCATGTACCTGGGTTGCAGGCGCGTCCCCAGTGGGGGGTGTGCAGGAGGCAGCTGATCGATGTTTCTCTCTCATCGATGTTTCTAACTCTCTATCTCTCTCCCTTCCTCTCTGTAAAAAATCAATAAAATATATATTTTTTAAAAGAATCAGAGGTCTCAAACTCAGGTCCTGTAAACTGTTACTTTTTGTTAAAATAGGTGTATTTTTTTTTTCTGCATTTCATAGACTGCCATAGTAGGAAGAGACTTTTGAGGTTCGTTTTACATCTGAGAAAACTGAGGCTGAGAGTGCAATGGACTCGCTCCGACATTTAAATGATTAGTAACGAAGCACTCAAACACACATTTGTAATCTAACAACTTAAAGAAAATAATGATTCGATTCCCATGCTATTTTTCTATCATTGCTCTTAAGTGCCTCACTTTCAAGAGTGCTCTTTCTTTCCTTGTTACTGTTGTTGTTGGCTCTCTTCTAGCTGGAAGAAGATCTGAGCAAAAAAATGGACAAAGATGAAGAGGCTTTAAGGGCAGCTCAAGCAGAACTCAAGGAAGCCCGGCGCCAGTGGCACCACCTGCAAGTGGAAATTGAATCTCTCCACGCTGTGGTGAGCCTGTCTCCAGAGTAACTGGCCCATGGAGTCCCCAGATGCTACATGATTAAGGGGGAGAGGGGAGGGGGAGGGGGAGATAACCCCATTACCTTATGGTGAGAAACTGACTCTGAGCAAGAAATCAAGGCCATCAAAGGACTTGTATGCATGCATACGAGCATAACCAATGGACACAAGACACTGGGGGACATGGGAGGCTAGGGGAGGGTCAAGGGGAGAAAAAAAAAAGGAGACATATATAATACTCTTTGTAATACTTTAAGCCAGGGGTCCTCAAACTTTTTAAACAGGGGGCCAGTTCACTGTCCCTCAGACCGTTGGAGGGCCGGACTATAGTTTAAAAAAAAAAACTATGAACAAATTCCTATGCACACTGCATATATCTTATTTTGAAGTAAAAAAACAAAACGGGAACAAATACAATATTTGTATTTGCATGTGGCCCGTGGGCCGTAGTTTGAGGACCCCTGCTTTAAGCAATAAAACAATTTAAAAAAATAAAAATAAATTTAAAAAAAAGAAATCCAGGCCACTGAATTCTACCCCAGGTCCTAGTTTAACTACCCCTTTCCCTCCTTCACTCAAGGTGTAGTTCGCCCTGATACAAATAAAGTGATCCTTGCTTATTGCCCTGTGGTCCTCTACTTGTTGGAGTGGGGGAATAGAGCTCTTGTCATTATCCAAAGTCACCACAGTGCAGAGTCCATATTTTTGAGGTGTCTAATAAGACAATATTTAAACACTTTCCTAAAATGCTTTCTATATGCAGTCTGCTTTGGCTTTGTTATTAATAGTCTATATTTTTAATACTTAAAAAAGAATGATACGTTAATCACACTGCAGAATTCTTATTCTTTCTTTAATTTTTTCTTTTTTATTGATTTCAAAGAGGGAGGGAGAGGGAGAGAGAGAGACAGAGACATCAATGATGAGAGAGAATCATTGATCGGCTGCCTCCTGCACACCCTCTACTGGGGATCGTTCCCACAACTCTGTGATTGAAGGACTGGAAAAAGAGCTGCAGGAAGTAAGGCACGGCATCGAGAAGCAGCTCCAAGAGCATGAGATGCTTCTCAACACGAAGATGAGGCTAGAACAGGAAATAGCCACGTACCGCCGCCTCCTAGAAAAGGAAGAAATCAGGTACCTAATCCCATGTGGTTCATGACAAGCGGCCAGAAATGCGGAGTCCCTTACGCCATTGTTGACGTAATCAGAGAAATTGAATCTAAAGAAATCGCCCCCATGGCAGGACCACTGAGTCTCTACAATTAAATAAGGGTAGTGCACACTGCGAAGAATATGATATTTCCAGCCTCCACAAATCACGGGCAAAATAACCAAAGTCAGGGACATAAGCTACAACAAGGAGCACAGCAAGGCTAGAACATGTAAACGTAAATAATTACCAATCAATACAAAAATGACTGTTCTAAACGTTCTCACTCTCCTTGCCACGCAAAACTTTTAGAATTAGTCATTGCCTTATACGGACCACCCACAAAGAAAGTTTGGAAAACTATTACTACCACATCCCCACACAAAGGCCGACTCCCACCACACATCAAACACCAAAATATTACAACCATGGAAAGCAATGGTGTTTGGAGTATATGATTTAGAAGACTTCCAGATGTCCCAACAACAAAAGGTACCAAAGAGGAATTCCTATTGATTCACACAATTTCAGAATCTGCAATCACTTATAGGGTCATACGGCTTTGAACATAGCACAACCTCCAATTTTCCATGTTCCCATAAAAACAAAACTAGTCTTTTTTTTAACCCTTTGTACGCCATAAGCATCAATGGCGTGTGGGGATGGTTTCCATTTTGGATGTGTGGCAGTTAACTGGTTAAATATACTTTTTAAAACTTTCAAGTATACTCAACATACAATATATTAGTTTCAGGCATACAACCCAGTGATTAGACATGTATATAATTTTTAAAATCATCTAATAAATCTAGTAACCACCTGACATCATGCATAGTAATTACAATACTACTGACTGTATTTCCTATGCTGTACTTTACATCCCCAAGGCTATGCCAGAACTACCAATTTGTACCTCTTCATCCCATGCCTCCAACCCCCTCCCATGGGCATCTATCAAAATGTTCTCTGAACCTATGATCTGTTTCTGGTCTGCTTGATCATTTGTTTTGCTTTTTAGATTCCACATATAAGAAATCATATGGCATTTGTCTTTCTCTGTCTGACTTACCTTCACTCAGCACAACACCCTCTAGATCCATCCATGTTGCAGATGGCAAGATTTCATTCTTTTTTACTTTAATGGTTGAGTAATATTTCATTGTATATAAGTACCACTTCTTCTTTAAAAATAAACCTTTATTCTTGCTTGCTTCAGAATTCGGAGTCTTCTATAAAACTAGATGAAACTGCTTTAACCTATAATGTCTTGACACTTACTAAATCTTTGAAAACCGTAAATTAAATTCAAATATACCACTTACTAGCAGAGTGAAGCCAGGCAGGTTACTAAACCTCTCTGTGCACCAGTTTTCTCATCTCTAAAATGGGAACAATATTACCTACCTCATAGCATTGCTGTGAAGATTAAACAAATTAATGTTTGTAAAGTGTTTAAAATAGTATCATGTAAATATACATACAATTTATTATTAAATAAAATCAAAGGTTGTGAAATTTATTTAATTCCTAATCCTTCAAAATATTGGTAACTTGGTCTTTAATATTTCTGTAATACAATTTTTATTATGCTGTATTTAATATATACAAGAAAGTATCAAGAAAGATGTAATGAACTCCCGTGTATGCACGTCCCCCAGCTCAGTGAGACATATTCAATGTTGTTGAAGTCTGTTCCACTCCCCATCACCCACACCTAAACCACATCCCCCCAATCTCATCCTCCTCCCTCAATCTAACCTGGGTCCCAAATTTGATGCTTAATATACGAATATGTATGTATCCCTAAACAAAATATGAAATTGTTTTGCGTATTATTTTAACCTTTATAAACTTACTTTTTTTCACTCAATGTTATACTTGGGAGATTCATCCATAAGGATCCAGTGTACCCTGAGTTCATTTATTTTCACTGCTAAATAGTATTTCCGTTGTATGAATATACTACAGTTATCCATTCTGATTAGAGCATTTGTTTCCATTACCTGCTAATATTTTGTTGCTCCTACAATATAATTCTTTCCAATTTCAGGTATTATGGTTGTATCCAAGGAGGAAAAAAAGAAAAAAAACCTACAAGTAGAGTTGGTTTTGTTTTACCTTCAGGTGAGTTTCTGATATTAGTAATTTAACTTGAAAAGCGAAGTGCCATTAGTAGGGACTATAAATAAATTGAGCACTCTAACGTAGCAAAAATAAGCAATATTTACATAAATTTTAACATGTGAATTGACTGTGATTAATACTTCAACACTGTAATTTAATATTTCATAAATAAAATTTTTCACAGCCATTATAAATGAAATCTCTTTTTCAACAAAAGTCCCACAAAAGTGTGAGAATGAAAAAGTGGAAACAGTGACCAAACAGGCAATATTAAATGGAAATGTCGTGAAGGAGAGCACTGAAGCTCATGGCACTATTCAGTAAGTACAGTAATTCTGACTAAGAAATAAAATAAACATGTAAAGAAATTAACCTCAATCAAATAATCTCAGTAATCTCTGTTTGAATGTTTCAAACATAACTTTAATTTGCTGTAATTTTTAATCTGACATGAGTAAGTATATATAAACAAAAACTCAGATAAAGGAATGCTCAGTCCTTAATTCACCATTTTTAAAAAAATATAGCAACACATGAGAGTTCTATAGAATCCCTTGAAATTATATGATTTTTTAAAGTATATGAATTTTAAATATCATGACGTACATTGTAAAACTTAAAATGTCAATTATAAATCATTCAAACTTCTTGATTTCTTTTTCATATGGAATATATATTACATATTTCTTAATACATCCGTACTTCTTCATATAGAAAGGTTTATTTGATCATTTCAGGACCGAGAAAGTGGATGAAGTTATTAAAGAATGGGAAGGTTCCTTCTTTAAAGATAACCCTCGGTTAAGGAAAAAATCTGTTTCTCTTCGCTTTGACCTTCATTTAGCAGCCACTGATGAAGGGTGTTTACAGACTAAACAGGATAATCTACCAGATATAGAAGTCAGGCTTATCATGAGGAGATCATGCAGTATTCCCTCTATCAAACCTCCATCAGCAGCTCATTAACCCAAAGACAGTATTTGACTTGAGTTGAAAATGACATTAGGATGGACCAAGGTGGGCGATGCTGACTATCTTCTGTCCCAAATGAAGTTTAAGTATGAATGTTATGATTGATGTGTGATTCTCTCCGTGGGTGGGGGGATGGCAAGGGGCAAAATTTCTCTGCATTTAACTATGGATATATTTTTTTGGAAAGGGAAGTGCAAATAAAATCAGAAAATCAGTATGATTTCTATCTTATTTATCCTCCAAATAATCGTTTTTGTTCCCTTGAAATTTTATCAGAGATGGTAAACATTAGCAGCTTAGTAAAATCTGTGACTTAATGCCTGAATACTCTAAGGAAAAGGGAATGGTTTATCTAAATATGATTGTACTATGTTAAGAATCACATTGAGTAATTCATCACTCTTCTATGACTGGTTATATCTACAAAGATTTTTCTAATTGAAAAAGAAAACAATTATACAACTTTTAAAGAGGACTCCCTATTCCCTTAACCAAAAATGCTCCTTTTGAGACAATCATTTGCACACTTAGAAAAATAAGTTACTTTCCATGAGCAGTTTTGAGCAAAGTATAGAACATAGCCCAGTTCTAATTTGATTAAATAAAATTAACCATCTGAAAGTGTTTTGTAGTCATGTGATTTCCGAGCAAAGTATAGAACATAGCCCAGTTCTAATTTAATTAAATAAAATTAACCTTCATCTGAAAGTGTTTTGCAGTCATGTGATTTCTAGAAGAGTTACTTTATGCAAAGAACTTTAAAAATTGTCCTCTATCAACAACAACAAAAGAGGCCAGTTGCACAAAAGATGAAAAGCTGATTACTACAGTTTCTAGAACAGTTATCCAACCTCTCCCTATCCCAGTTTTTCCATCTGTAAAGTGAAATGTGATTAATTGGAGTATTTGGTGTGAGCATTAGGTAAAATATTATATAAAGTCTTATAAGTATTTCCTGCAATCATTTATGTGAATTAAGACAATAGTATTGTTATCGAAGCTATGAGTATTTGCAGGATTTATGTTTTTAAATTGTTCCAAGTGTAATAAATATGGATAGAAAATATATTTATGAGTAAGTAGTGTTTCAGAGGTTTTTAAACAACCTAATTTGTTTAATACAGGTATATTTAAGACCTTAAATTAAAAAAAAACACCTGTTTTAAACATTAGAAATGTATAGGCTATTAATTTTTTTCTAAGCAGAAAATATGTTGAGTATCACTCACCATACTGTTATCCCAACTAAAGAATTATCCAAGGGCTATAGCTGTTAGCATTTTAGTACAGCCTTTCCAACTGAAACCTCTCTCTCTCTCTCTGTCTCTCCCTCTCTCTCTGTGTATGTCTCTCTCTTCCTCTCTCTCCTTTATTTCAACAGCAACAAAAAGGTGTATTTTAACCAGAAGAAAATTATGTTAAATAATCTTTAACATAATACAGGGATATAGTGAAATTTTTTTCAATTACTTCAGATTTCTTTAAGCCTTGCTTATTCTATTTAGTGAAAGGAATAATTTTGTTGTCAAGGTTACAACAGCATGTTAAGTGCTTATTCTTGCATAAGCACCTAACCTAAAATACATCCTATATGTAAAACTGTTTAATTCAGTATCAGTTAAAAGCTACTAACTTCATAAAGCTTTGAAAACGCAGTCATATAAGCTATTGTGCTAAAGTTACTGTACCAAGCAACAGTAATCGTAATGGAATTTATCTAGTGTAATTGATATGCAGTGTAAAAGCCTAATAGTGGGCATCATAAATGTAACTGCTTGTAATAGTAATTCCACTATGCAGCTATTGTGTGTAAGGTATATTTCAAAATACAGTATTTGAATTTATAACAAAGTTTTATTTGCTCTGGGGCATTTTAAATTGGGATATGAATTTACCAAAGTAAATGATACCACTATAATAAAAATTGTAAAACTGAAACATGAACTCTAAATCTGCATTGTGTTGAGTTTGAGACATTGTGTTGAGTTTAATTGTTCTAATATGGTTAGTTCACTTGGGGAATGACGAACTGTAACCATAGCAGAGAGAGAATTTCTTATATAGTTTTTTTAAATATATTTTTATTGATTTCAGAGAGGGAGAGAAAGAGAAAGAGAGAGAGAGAGAGAGAGAGAGAGAGAGAGAGAAACATCAATGATGAGAGAGAATCATTGATCGGCTGCCCCCTTCACGCCCCACACTGGGTATTGAGCCTGCAACCCGGGCATATACCCTGACCAGGAATCTAACCATGACCTCCTGGTTCATAGGTCGACGCTCAACCACTGAGCCATGCCAATCAGGCTATAGTTTTTTAACAAAAGAAAAAGTAAGAATGGTATATTCTAATAAAAAAAATCAAAATAATCCCATAATCCCATAAGTATAATAGTTAGCCAGAATTTACAAAATGCTTACTCTGCTCCTCACACTGCACTCAGCATGCTTGTACATAATCACTAATCCTTACAACGATCCTACAAGATGTATAATGTTATCTTTATTTTGTACATAAAAGAAATCAATATTCTTCCATTATTTTGGCATAATTAAAATGTATGCTTCTATAACAAAATACAGAGTAATTCCAATTACTAACAATTCTAGCGTCCCTGCCCTGGCACGGTCACTAACTATCCATGTAACCAGGAAGGAATTACTTTCATTTCCTAGCCTCAATTTTCACACTTGAAAACAAAGGGAAAGGTGTTACTTGGGAACAATGCCCACCTCACAGTTGCTTGAAATAACATACATGTGAAGATATTTGACAAAGCACTACTCAGATACACAGTACTATTTGGATGAACTTGTCATTGGGAGAGAATTTCTGAGAACAATTATTGGTGACAATGATATATATATGAGCCTAATATGCAAATTGTCCCTGTGGGAGTTTGACTGGGAGAGACCGACTGCTCGCTATGATGTGCACTGACCACCAGGGGGCGGCACAGAACGAAGGGAGGCCTCAGCAGGCAGCTGGCAGCTGGCAGCCGGGGAAGGGAGGCCCCCCCAGCAGCTGGAAAGCCCTGATTGGCCCTGATCGCCCGCCTGGCCTAGGAACCCTACCCATGCATGAATTTCGCGCACTGAGCCTCTAATTGAGTAATAATTTAAAACACAACAGGTAATGAGAATTTTTTAAATTCTTTGCTTCCAGGAGAGTTATTTTTCCCCAATGAGTTACTCAATTTGAACTGCTCACCCAAGGATATTTTTTTAATTGGTTTTTAGAGAGTGGAAAGGAGTGGGGGGAGACTCTATCCACTAACCCAAATCGACCAGGGCTCTACCATAGTAGTTTTTAAAGTACAAAAATGTTCCCCCAAGTTAAAAATGCATAAATTATTTAAAAGTGTCAAATGGAAACATTATGGCACATGAGCCAGAATTACACTGTAATTACATAACATGCACAGCCCTCGCTGGTGTGGCTCAGTCGGTTGGGTGTTATCCAGCACACGGAAAGGTTGCCTGTTCATTTCCGGTCAGGGCACATCCTGGGGCTGCGGGCTGATCCTCATTGTGGGGGGTGGAGGAGGCTACCTCTCCATATTACACGCTCACATTGGATGTTTCTCCCTCTCCCTTCCTCTCCAAAAAACCAATAAAAAATATTTAAAAAACAAATATCAATAAATAATATGCAGACACGTTACTCAAATGATCAACATAAGAAAAAAAAAGTTTGTGCCAAAGGCAGAATTTAGCTCTGCGTCTACAAGGTATGGCCAGCATGTACACCCAGATTACTCACGGACATGTTACAAATAAACATTCTGAAAGAAGGTACATGTGCAAAGCACTACAAGCCTTTTCCAGTTTCCCTCACACACTTAGACCCTAGACCACCGTCAGCGAACGTGGGGCCGCACCTCAACACACATTTCCTGAGCATCTAACCGCGGGCCAAGCCTTGGCAGACACCGGCAAAGCGCAGGTGACCCATGGGATGACTGGGCTGTGTTTGCAAGCCCCTCGCCCTGCATTACAGGTGACAAACGCGCTCGGGTGCCTTGGGTCAGGCACAGACTCCAACCGAGATGTCAAAGAGCCATGGCGTCCAGAGGAAGGATTACTGGGGGTTGGGGTGGGGGGCAGGAGGGCATCAGAAAGAGACGTGTGAGCCGGTCCGAGAGGACAGAAGAGTTTAACCTGAAAGCGCGGGGCAGGCATTCCCGTCGATGGGAACCCAACGAGCCCAGACCCCGTTGGGCCGAGACCAGTGGCACCTCCACTGCGCAAGGGCGCCCCACCGAGGCCAGGGCATCCACATCGCTGGGCCTCGCCTCGGAAGCCGGTGGCAACGGCACCAGATTCGACCTTGGAAAAACGGGGAAAGCCCGTGTCGCGAAGGCAGGAAGCCCGCCCGAGAGGCGCCCGTGGGGACGGACACGCCGCGCCTCCATCC